CAAAAGGTATTTAACCTAGAGTCAAGAAACTTTACAGGAATGTTGATCAGCATGTGTAGTTGTGTACCTGGGTATTTTCGTCTGGATTTATTTCGTATTTTTAGAGTTATTGCCCTTGACTTAGAAAATGTTTGCAATTTTCAACTTGTGTCGCATGTAACTCAAAAGGATTTGACATAGAGTCATTAAAGCTTACGGGAAGGTTGCTCAGCATATTTCATTTTGCACCTGGGGTTTCGCTTGTGGATTTATCCAGTATTTGTAGAGTTATTTCCCTTGACTTAGTAAAAACCGTTTCATTATGTTGTTATTTGTTCCTTGAGTGCTTGAGTTAGAATCAACCAACTTTACAGGAATAATGATCACTATCACTTAATTACAGGAATAATGATTCACATCACTGTGAAGCTATGCACCTGGGACTTTGCATGTGGATTTTTTTCAGTTTTGTTAGAGTTATTGCCCTTGACTTACAGTAGTATAAATTTGCAATAAAAAATTATTTTCATCTTGTTCATGCATAGCTCAAAAAGTATTTCACTTGTAGGCCTGAAAAAATTACAAGAATGTTGGTCAGCATGTGTACTTATGCACCCTGGGGGTTTGCTTGTTGATTTATTCAGTAAAGTTCTTGCCTTTTACTTAGTAAAAGTTTTTTAGTTTTCAAAAAATATTTGACCCAGAGTCATAAGATTGACAGAACAGTGGCGCGGTGGGGGCACCCGTGTCCTATGGACACATTTCTAGTTGTTATTGAGCAGTCAAAAACACAATCTCCGCTTGACCGTTATATGACGTAAATTTTAACTGGTTTCCCAAACAGGATTATGCATATTTATATCGAGGTTTGACCGCAAGACTGTTGTAAGTCCAACTTTAGTTCAATATCATTTACTGTAGTTTTGCAGTCAACCCACGATATATACATTTATCACCTGAAACGAGGTAAAACATGAAAGTGTGGTCATGCAAGAGGGTCTAATTTTATATTATTCAGGTTTCATCAGCTGTGGTATGTTTCTTTTTCTAAATCCATTCAATATTACAAGTGAAACAACATATGTACAAATAGTCAGATTGGTGTGGTCACTCATAAAAAATCGCTTTTATATATACTTGCCATGTGAAAACACATTTTTTGTAGCAACAGTCTTCTCAGATAGAAGACAAACAGGAAAACATGCAGTCATCAGGTTTGTACGGTGGCACAAAGGTTACATGTGTGTGTTTTTATTTATCTCGTGGCCACGAGATACTATGTCGTGGCCACGAGTTACTAAGTCGTGGCCTCGAGATAGCTAAGTCGTGGCCACGAGATACTATGTCGTGGCCACGAGTTACTAAGTCGTGGCCTCGAGATAGCTAAGTCGTGGCCACGAGATACTATGTCGTGGCCACGAGTTACTAAGTCGTGGCCTCGAGATAGCTAAGTCGTGGCCACGAGATACTATGTCGTGGCCACGAGTTACTAAGTCGTGGCCACGAGATAGCTAAGTCGTGGCCACGAGATACTATGTCGTGACCACGAGTTACTAAGTCGTGGCCACGAGTTACTTAGTCGTGGCTACGAGTTAGCTAAGTCGTGGCCACGAGATAAATAACCAATCAGATAACACCATTTATATGAATTTCCCTAATTAACTAGACATGTGCTATAGTACAAGGATGCCCCTACTTCATCAGCCTGTAAAAGTGTCATTTATACAACTTATTGACTGGTCAATAATTTTAAATTTAGCGTCACTGGGACCCTGATTTGTGACCCAAAGACCTCGAAATTATTAGATGCCATCTACTGATCAGGCGCAATGATCTTTCTGGCTTTTTAGGATTTTACCTTATAAGCTATCTACTGTCCATGGGCAATATAGATCTCTTCCAAATAAAATAAACCAGGACTTATTCCTTCTCATGTTATCGTATAAGCAAGGTTAACAGGCCGTAGTACGTACAAACTGACCAATAAGATCGCAAAATTGTCCCAACAAAAGGCTAAAGTCAAAATTAATGTCTGATGGGCCTTGGAAGGTGACTTTCTAATATTATTCTAAAGACCTGTTCAAAGTGAATATATCTTCAGTATTTTCAAAGATTGATGTTGCATGTAAAAGTACGTTATTAAGTTTAAAAAAATCATAATATATAGTGTGTATTCTGATTGGTTTATTATCTCGTGGCCACGACTTAGCTATCTCGTTCCCACGACTAAGTAACTCGTGGCCACGACTTAGCTATCTCGTGGCCACGACTTAGTAACTCGTGGCCACGACTTAGCTATCTCATGGCCACGACTTAGTAACTCGTGGCCACGACATAGTATCTCGTGGCCACGAGATAAATAAAAACACACACATGTCACCTTTGTCACCGTAGGTTTGATGCCGGGAGTGTCCACTGAAGTTATTTAATTAATAATGCAGATATGTTTGCTTACGGGAAGTCTGTGCTTGAATGGTCCTAAAATGATACTTGCACTGAAAACTTGAACTTTCATCTACTTGTCAGTCGTTGTATGATCTGTATGGAACCCCCGGTGTCGAATAGGCCTAGGCCTACTCGTGATGTGACTTGAAAAAAGGTCGCTAATATTCTTTTGGCATAGATCTAGCTTATAATCCTGTACATTCATGAAAATACAGGTTAGGAAGAATGCCACGGTTCTTTTCTCATAGTAACCTCTCGGAGCGGTTTCAAAGAGAGCTTGGATTTACGTAACTTAGGTGTTTCACAAATCCCTGATATAGTAAAATTTGCGGGAATCCCAATGAACATTAATTTTGATGACGTCAGATAGTTAATACGTCATATTTTTGGTTACATGGTAAACTTACGTGTTGGCTATAGAACAAAGTTCTACGATTTACTTTGATAGATCAATATAGATTTAGATTAGTCAACATCCTTCATCATGGGACATTATATGAGGTAACTTGTCTAACATTTGAAAGTGCAATGACTAGAGCTATATAAGGGGGCAGGGGACATATTCGAATGATGGCCAAATATTTTAATAACTCAGACATGGTGTTTTGAAGGTACTGATAACTTCTGATATTTCTCTGTCATTGTAATTCTTTCTTGTTTGTGTGTAGGAAATGAGATGTATTTTTGGGTTTTTACCCGAAACTAAGCATTTTGGTAGCTTTATATGTATTTCTGACTCTCCGAATGGAGGTGAAAAAGTTAAAAATCAAGCTTTGACAGTTGGCGCCAAACAAGTAAGAAATTTCAGATAAATTTTGTGAAAAATCTAAACGTATGACAGACACTTTATTTGTCATTTCTGAAAATGCCATAGCTTGCACTGCGTGTTACAGATATTTTTTAAAGGAATCGGGCGGATTCTGGAGTATGCTGCACCTTCATGAAGATTGCCCATATTGGTATATTTAGGTGTGATTTTGGCTGGGTGGGGGTAAATATAAATTGCTGTCAGTCATTTTTTGAAGGAGCAATGCATGCAAACTATTATTTTCTTCAATGTATGTCATATATCATTGAATAATGCTGTGCAACTGGTTATCTGCCTGTGAAACAGATTTTGAAATATTTGGAAGTGTGTTTCTGGTCACACTGAAATACAAAATTTTTCATTTTTAGGTCCCCTGCCCCCTAATGTTTATAATTTAATTAAGGCTGACTCGGAGCAACACACTAAATACCGTATTCCGGTATATACCGGACAAGGCAATTGAATTATGGCAATTGCACGTAGAATAAAGAAATAAAACATAATAATACTTTTGATAGAAGTAACTTTTTTTCAAAAATCCCAAGTCTAGCTCATAGGTGAATATATAAATGTCCAGTTACATTTTCGCTTTCACTTTAGATCTGTGCGGTTCCGCTTTCACGATATATTGTATGAGATATCATTTTGGTTTGACTGTATATCACAGTAAGTATGAAAGTGAATTAAACTAGTGGGTTCGAAACCTGTTTGAGACTGTTTCACTTTCTTATGCAAGTTTTAATTCTTTATTATAAAACATATTTTACTGCTTCTAAACATAAATACATTATTAATACGCATTTAAGCTTTTTTGATGTATTTTTGTCTCTAAAAATAATCATTCATCAAGAAGAAAAAATGAGATAAGGGACATAAATGAGATATTGATACTTCGATTAATAGATAAAATGTAGTTTCTTACATGAATAATACTTGAGAAAAACAACAACAACAACAACAAAGTTTTTAAAGCGCGTTAGCTTTGTGTTCCTTTTGAGCTTAGTACTCTACCGTTTGCACGAGCTGTTGCGATATTTATTATTCACTTTACAATCATTCAATCTGCACGGACATTATTTCATTTACTTACAAAGCTTTGAAATTGACGGTTCCGTACTATAATAAATATGAAGAAACTTCTGTTTACGAAAACATAATTTTGCTACTTACGAGAACTGTAAAATATAACACTTTCCATGCATTCTTTGCTAAATCTCAAATAAATATATTCGTAACTGTTGGCAGACAATATTTTTAGCTTTTACTAACAACCGTGTTTTGCTATTTTAAAAGTGGTTGTCACCCGGTCATTCGTAGGTCAATGAACAGATGCAGTTATCTAGGTTTCTTAGTCATAATTATTTTTGGAAACACAATTTATTTCACTCTAAATTAAACTAATCAATGAAACGTATATTAAGTTGTTTTTTTTTAAGAAAAAAAATGAGGCTTTAAAATGAGATTTGTATATATAAGTCTTCAAGACTTGAATCATAAAAGAATAACTTGCATAATTATACAATATGTCAGTGAGATTTGTCACCGTATTTATTAATATATTATCATAAATAAGGTAACAAATCTCATATATTTTATCATATTAATATTAATGTACTTTTTAATCATATTATTATAGATATTATCTCCTTGCAACACATTTAATACGCTTTTTTACTGACTTTATTGTAGTTCTGTAGCTGACGTCCTTTTGTGCAAGAACTTTACTGCAGTATATCATTTTTTATGTTTCTTTTGTTTTTGGTTTTAGAAAGGTGTCTTTCCCCACCAGTGGAAAAGTATCTCTGGCCTTGATGAAAAAGAGCAAAGGCTACTAAGTTGTAAACATAAAGACGTCATCTGCATATTGAAGGTACATAGAGGACGACGGACTACTTTACTCGTCCTGGACATTTGGAGAGATTTACATTTATAATTATACGATATGTGAATGATTATATTGTGTCAATAATAGCGAAATTAAACGGATTCAATATATATACTCCAGTCTGTAAAATAGTTACGAGGTTATAAAAACAAAACAGACTGTAAGTCCTAAAAGCAGTTATAAAAATTTATCTTAAAGTTAAAATTTATGTGTAGAAATCGAGTTGAATCATTAAAAATCAATTTCGATACCTTTCGACGAAATCGAGGCTTTGATGCATATTCGTGGTACGAGAAACACTTATGTCATCTTCGCAGACGACATCAAATCAGCAGGCGTCATCAAATAAGCAGACGTCGTCAAATCATTCTACTTTTGTTGCTCAACAAACCACACATGATCACCAGACCCAATCTGAGAACGAGCTTTCACATGAAGAGCAGACGACACCAAATGGAGAGACGCTACCAGAGCAGCAGACGTCATCTGAGCAGCACGCGACATTTGAGCAGCACGCGACATTTGTGCAGCAGTCATCTGTGCAGCAGACGTTATCCGAGCAACACATCACATCTGAACAGCAGACATCATGTGTGCAGCAGACTTCATCTGAGCAACAGACCACAACACTTTCGTCAAACACAACATATAGTTTTGAACCTATGATGACAGTTATTAACAAAATAGCAGACGGACAACGAGTTCCGCCACAGACTACTATGAAATATGAAATGTTAAGGTTTTGCACCCTTCGATCTTTCCCAAAGGGGAACAAACCTTATATTACCAGATTGGCTGGTGCAGGATTTTATTACGCAAACGAAGGAGATGAAGTCGTCTGCTATTGTTGCGCGCGCCGTAGGAGAAATTGGACAGAATTCGAAAATCCTATCGAAGTACATAGAGAATTAAATCCAAACTGCAGTTTCCTCACTCGTAATTCTGAAGTAAATGTCTCAGTAAGACAAAGTATTGAAAGTTCTTCAGCAGAATCTCACTCAAACCTGTCAACAATTAAAAGAGGCCAGTCTAACTCTAATTTTCGTAATGAATTAACGGAAGTGAATGTGTCGTCTGCAGTTGAGACTGGTTCACAAATTCAAACGAATGAAAACTCGGAACATTCATCTTTTGCAAGCAATGCGATTTCATCAAGAGGAGGGAATCAGTCTATTTCACTACTTCCTATTGATGTACCGCAAACTACTACCGAGAACCAGTCTTCAAATAATTCTACAGGTAGTGATATTTTAGTCAAATTCATTTTGTTAAGCAATGCTTTTTATCCAAAAATATCAGTCAGTGCCATGAATTTTAAAATAAGAAATCAAAAAAAAAAAAAAAAAAAACAAAACAAAACGTAACAAAAACAACAACAAAAAACAACAACAACAACAAAAAACAAATATCAACAAAGTGTATGATATACGATGTATCTAATTTCCTAGACCGAAAAAGTTTATTTTAAGTAGCTATTAAAGTTATGTAATAGATAAGTCCTAGACTTTAAAAAGTTTTCTTTACCATTGTTATACATGTATCTTTGTCTTTTTTTTCTATCACTGTGTTTAATTTTTTATAGGAAGCGTATCTTCGTCTGTGGCCCCAAAACACCCCAATTATATCAGCCAATCAGCACGGTTGTCGAGCTACAGCGATTGTGGGGACATCGTCATAGCACCAGACCGCCTGGCACAGGCCGGCTTCTTCTACTCCGGTTTTGGAGATTGTGTCAGGTGTTTCCAATGTGGAGTCGGTAAGTTCAAATTAATACCCCTTTAATAAGTTTTCATTTTGTTTTGATTTTGTATAATATTCATCCAGATACAAAATTTATCAACTGAGCTCAACTTGATTTTTTCATTGTGATCGCAGCTAGTGTTGGATTACATTATGTTTATCTATATCCAATTAACTGTTTTCAACAGCGTTTATTGAATCATTTAAACATCATTTCTATTACATAGACTAGGCCAGTTTTTGCTGTTTAAAGACAAGCAACAGTTGATTGAGAACAAAACATAAAAGTATGCTTTTGTTGTAAAAGCATACTTTAAAAATTTCAAATGTAGGCCTTCTTAGGTGACAAATATTAGGTTAAAGATTAATGGTTATGAAAATGATATTACGTTGAAAACTAGCAACGTCATGATTGTGATGTAATATTTAAATATATGCAGCTTTATTTGTAATGGAAAACATCAACTCGAGAGTAAAGCACTCTATATATATATTCATACAAGGGAAGGAACTCGTTTCTGATTCGTAAATTTGGAATTTACTGGTTGTATCCTTTGTATTTATTAAGTGAAAACACTATTTGACCTTTCTAATATTTTGTGAAAGCAAAACAGTATTTGTTTGTATGCCTTCAATTTTATGTAATTTCAACCTATGTGCTTCGTTGAGAATTTAAATTAGTGAAACAAATCAAAGTAGAATTAATAGAGTTTGGACTTAATGGAGCCGCTTTTCAAATCATGACTTCACAGCGGAAAAAGTCCTTCTACGTGCCAAAATATTTACCGGCAAAAACGTTTTAGGGTCAATATTGCCTTGAATTACATTCAATTCGGTTAGTAAACAAGGCATTCTTACAGTACCTTTAATATAATGTTTATTGATAATTTTTACAGGATTACGTCATTGGTCGGAGGAAGATGATCCATGGATAGAACATAGCAGATGGTCAAATGAATGTTCATACGTACGGCAAATTAGAGGAAGAGAGTTCGTGAATATCGTGCAAATGGCTGTACAGTATTCACAAAACGTATTTATATTTTAATACTTACATGTTTAATACTTTTCATACCAAGCAAAAAGGACATAATTATATGTTTGATGTATACATATATTTAATTTTTAATTGAAAGCATGTAAGGATAAGTCTGTATCGAAAAAGGTAAGTCATATAATATAAAACGTATCCGATATAAATTCTTTACATTGTTCTGATCAATTCCTTAAGTAAACAAGAACTGTAGACTTTCAATTGTGTAAATGTACAATACAATTTGACAGCCGTTGAGATTGATTCCTTATTATTCCTTAAAACGTTATAAATATAATACTGGCACGAGTACCCAAACAAATCCAATGTTCTATGAAAAATGTGCACCCAAAAATAGATAATACAGTATTTAGATATTTTCATAAATATATTTCTGTATTTTTCAGCAAACCGGAAATGAATCAATTTCAACACAAGGAACTGAAGGCATGGGTAGTTTTTTTCTTTCTTTTTTCTTTAAACAATAAAGCTTTGAAAGCATATAAATACAATAACTGAAAGGAATTGGGCATAACTTTAAATGCTAATCGATAAATCGAAATGTTTGTGGTAAATAGAACTAGAAATTTAATTAAATATGCTTGGAATTATAAAACACACATGTCTATGTTAGAATTGTGTAAAAACAATATTTTATTATATTTCTGAAATTCAAAACTGAGCTTTGTTTTATTTTTCAGTTTTAAATACATCTACCTTTATATATTAATTAGATGAAGTATAACTTAATTCCTTACTTATGCATTAACTTAACATATCAAAACGTTGCATATCAGCAGGCAGAGGTTTATTATGTATTTATAAAGTTTAACTTAAATCGAAATGGATTATTCGCTTTTTACACCATTGCTTTACTTGTATCTTTTTTGTTTGTTTCTATCACTGTGTTTATTGTTTTATAGGAAGCGTATCTTCGTCTGTGGCCCCAAAACACCCCAATTATATCAGCCAATCATCACGGCTGTCGAGCTACAGCGATTGTGGGGACATCGTCATTCCACCAGACCGCCTGGCACAGGCCGGCTTCTTCTACGCCGGTTTTGGGGATTGTGTCCGATGTTTCCAATGTGGAGTTGGTAAGTTAGAATTAATATCCCTTTAATAAGTTTTCATTTTGTTTTGATTTTGTATAATATTCATCCAGATACAAAATTTATCAACTGAGCTCAACTTATTTTTTTCATTGTGATCGCAGCTAGTGTTGGATTACATTGTGTTTATCTATATCCAATTAACTGTTTTCAACAGCGTTTATTGAATCATTTAAACATCATTTCTATTACATAGACTAGGCCAGTTTTTGCTGTTTAAAGACAAGCAGCAGTTGATTGAGAACAAAACATGAAAGTATGCTTTTGTTGGAAAAGCACACTTTGAAATTTTCAAAAGTACGTCTTCTTAGTGGACAAATATTAGGTCAAAGATTATTTGTTATGAAAATGAAATTACGTTGAAAACTAGCATGATTGTGATGTAATGTTTAAATATATATATTGCACATCGACATTCAGCAGCTTTCTTTGTAATGGAAAACATCAACTCGAGAGTAAAGCAATCTATATATTCATACAAGGGAAGGAACTCGTTTCTGATTCGTAAATTTGGAATTTACTGGTTGTATCCTTTGTGTTTATTAAGTGGAAACACTATTTGACCTTTATAATAATTTGTGAAAGCATATAACAGTATTTGTTGGTTTGTTTGTATGCCTTCAATTTTATGTAATTTCAACCTATGTGCTTCGTTGAGAATTTAAATTAGTGAAACAAATCAAAGTAGAATTAATAGAGTTTGGACTTAATGGAGCCGCTTTTCAAATCATGACTTCACAGCGGAAAAAGTCCTTCTACGTGCCAAAATATTTACCGGCAAAAACGTTTTAGGGTCAATATTGCCTTGAATTACATTCAATTCGGCTAGTAAACAAGGCATTCTTACATTACCTTTAATATAATGTTTATTGATAATTTTTACAGGATTACGTCATTGGTCGGAGGAAGATGATCCATGGATAGAACATAGCAGATGGTCAAATGAATGTTCATACGTACGGCAAATTAGAGGAAGAGAGTTCGTGAATATCGTACAAATGGCAGTAGAATATTCTCAAAACGTATTTATGTTTAATTTATATTTTTAATACTTTTCATACCATCTAAAAATACATGAAAATATGTTCAAGATGTATGAATATAAGTAGTGTAAAAGTGATAATTTCGCGGCCATCTTGCGCCGACGGCGCCGTCGGCGCAATAAGACGGACGTTAGGAACGTGAGACGATGACTCAAGCTTCCAAGATGGCGGCTCCCATATAGCGGATCAACATGGTGGACACAAGCTGGCGGGAAATATTAAGCGGTCTTTTTTAAAACGCGTTTATTTGAAATCAGTTTGAAATCAGTTTTTGAATTGCAAACGATCAATATCACCTTTCATCTTTTGGTGGAGAGCTATTGTATCGACAACGGTCTAAGGGTATCAATTACCCATCTATAGTGTTGGATATAGTTTAACTTTTAAGAATGGATTTGAGGCGTTATGCTGTAAACAGTGATTCATTTTGGTTAAATGAAGATGAAATATATCCTTGGGTATATGCAGAAGTACAAGATGTTTTTCATAGCCTTCGTTGGTCGCATTATTATATGATTGGTTTATTACAAGCTTATCCATCACGCTTTACTTTTGCGGCAAATAGGTATTTAGAAAACGGACATTGGTGGCACGAGTTGTGTAATTTTACCCCAAATTTAATGGCAGACGAATCATTAGAAGAAGGAATGCTTCGTAATATTTAAAGACGATTGTTTATTTGTTTCTTAAAGCATGGCTCAAGCACAATTGATGTTTAGTGAGGAATCTTTATCTTATTTGAAAACTTGTGGCTTTGAAACTGTTAATTGGTGTCCAATAACAAAAGAGGTTCGTTGTAGCTTAGATGATAAACATTTATTAACTATTAAGAAAAAAAGAAGTAAAACGGTGATTATTTTACAAAAAGGAAAATCCACATTATCTATAGATATGAAACAGTTTGAATCTTTGTGCGATTTAAAGGAAAGCATTCAGTTGTTAGGTTCATTTTTACAAGGACAGTCATAATGGAATGTACGGGTTTAGGTATAATGTTTAAATCACCAGAGCTTAAACTGTATGAGAATAGACTGCAAACGTTCGAATCGTGGTCTCAACAAATTCAACCTAATAAATATGAACTGGCATCTGCTGGATTTTATTATACGGGGAGAGGAGATATTGTTCAATGTTTTTCCTGTGCTATTAGACTCAATCAATGGAAAAAGACAGACGATCCAATGAAAGAACACGGTATTCATTCAAAAAATTGTTTATTTCTGAAAATGGTTGGACAATCAAATCGGTCTGAAAATATTTCTCTTCTAGATGAGGATCTAAAATGGAATCCGTGGGAGAGCACCTCACTTTTTGGCGGTAGAGCAAACTGAAAATATAAATTTTGAAATAACCGTTATTTCGAAAACTTAAGCTGTCTAGACGTACGTATATATAAGTTAACCACTGTAAAACTTCAAAACATTTTTGCCCTTGCACTACTGGTATAAACATGGCAAATCTGAGATTAGAAATTGAAAACAATGAATATGTGGATAGTGACAATGAACGGAGTGACTCTATGATAACACAATTTGATGAGGAGGAGCTGGATGAAATGAAGCAAAGTCATGTTACTATTAACCATTGTACACCTCCTGCAACTAGCGTGATGTTGATGAACTCATATTTTGACTTTGTATATGCAAAAGCATTGATTAACGTAAAAAGTATGATAGTGAAGAAACATTGCTATGGATGTTTTAAAGATCACCCTTCACAGACACAACATGACTGTATCATGAGCGATCTTATGTATGATGACGAGCAAGCCTATGACTTTTACTTTGAAGAAATGTTACTGGAAGTAGATGAAACCAAAGTGTTGCAAGCATGGGAAGTCTTAGTACAAGGACTTAACC